TCAGAACCAAAGGTGTTCTCTCAGCAGCTCACTTGAGAGGAAGAAACTGGTTGTTTTGCATAATGCCAGATGAGGTTGACAGGATTAAGGTGGCCTTTAAAAATAACAATGCCCAGGCATAAATTCATAGTGTAGTTTCATCACTTTCAGATTTTTAAAGGCTACAAGTAATCTTGGGAGGCACTTGTATATTCCTGCTCTTAAGATCTGTCTTCCGCAACAGTAATTTTTTCTTCAGTATGAGAACTGACTTGAGCTGCTATCAAAGATGAATGGGTGTATCTTATAATGAGTAGTATTCTGCGAAAGATGCCTCACAGGACCAAAGTAGTTGAATGACAGGGATTAAGTTACTTAGGTCTCATGCATATTAAAAATGTGTCTAAAAGCTGCCTCATTAACCCTTAAAATGTGGCAGTCCTTGGGATAAAGCATCTTGAGGAAGGTAGGAAGATACGATCCGGGAGAGCAATCAACCTAAACAAAGTTTCTTCAAAGTTGTAGACACAAAATATGGATTCCCTAAACTGATCACTTGGATGCATTCTCTGTATCCAAGCATTGAAGGAAATGGATGTCCTAATCTCTTCTTTTTCTAGAGTACTGTAGCTCTCCAATAAAAGAAAAATAATCTCTAAATTGAACTGGCATTAGATCTGGAGTGTGCACAAGTAGACAGACTAAGGAGTTGACTGGGTGGGAGGACAGAACATCAGAACATTTTCAAATGAAAATAGAGATAGGAACCTTTATTGTTTATATTGAGCATGATGAGGAGCATAATCTAAGGCTTAAGATCCATAAGCCTTTTTCTGTTCCCAAAGGCCAAGGCAAAGAACATTTCCTGCTGCTGATTGCTGTCAGGCAGGGCAAGACCATGGGCCCCTCATTGTGCAAAGGAGCACTTGCTTTCCTGAGCATAATGCTTTCTGCTCTTCCTGATGTTACTGCATTTGAAAATACAAATTAAGCACTACTGGTTAAGTAGTGAAGTAGATCTAAATTAATGGAGACTGAACAATAGGTATTCAAAAAGCAGCCTTGTCTAAAATTGTGCAGTTCTTGAGTTACCAGAATTTGTTCAGAGAAAGCGAATGAGGGGAAAAGCAGTGGCTTTCATCCTTTTGAGTATGAACTTAATCTACTTCCCCATATATGTCATCGTAAGAGAAACACAGAAAACCCAAAAGATCCAGATGTCTGAAGCTGTGATGTTCTGGATGAGCTGCAGCCTAGTACACTGGTATGGAAGCCAGCTCTATTCCAGCTTTTGAAGGCTTCTTGGATTTTTTTTTTTTTTAATGATGTAAAGAAGCTCTGGAATTTTTACGTGAGTGGATAATAATGATATTTTTATATCCAATTTATATTCCACTCGCATGTCTGAGCTTGGAAATACACTTCCATTGAGGCCATTACTACAGCAAGCATGATTAAAACCAGTCTACGAACTCTTTCCATGAACACTCTTGAGGAGAAGGTTATGGATTCTGACACACTTCAGAAGTGTCTTAGATTCTTCAGCAAACTTGTGCTTCTTTTCTGCAGAGCACAAATAAGGACTGAGGGCCTTTGGACAGCATGGATTTCATCTTCCCTTAGTTGCTGTAAATCTGTATTTACGAGTATTTCTATTTTAAAGCTTCTTGCTGAAGTCATCAACATTTTATCACTTATATTTTACCCCAGAAAGGCATTATGAAACACTGTGTTTGTGTAGCCTCTAAGGAGAAAAACATATATTGAATCTAAATACATGAGGTATTTTTATCTCTGTTTTGATCCCAGGTGAAGCTTGGAAGAAGTAAGGCATGCTTGAGGGAAGGGAAGCTGGTAGCAGTCGCTTAGTAGATTGTGTCAGTTAGTTTGTTTACTAAAAGAGGTATATTGTTCCTAGAAATATAGATGCTGTATAGTTTAAATGATGAACCATGAACCAGCTGAGAATTAAGAGGCGATTGATAAAATAAATTACAGACAAACATTCAGTTTCTGGTGGTACCTGTTACCTGTTTAGTGTTTGGCTTCTAGACTGATTATGGACACAAGTATGGGTAATGTCCAGAAATCGGAGCAAAGCATTACCCATTTGCTTGCATTACACAGCATTAAGGAGAATAAAAATACCCAGGGTTCAAAAATCTAGTGCATTTCGTATTACCCGTTGGGACTTGTCTTGGATGCGGGAGGCCTTCAGCAGACAGAAGGGTCCTTCCTGCCACCAGATGTCAGTATGCACATGGTTAAAACTACTGATTCCTCAGAATTTGTACTTAATAAGGTATTGAGGATTGTTTTCTTTTTTTGTGCTGAACAGTTGCATAGCTAACATAGCCTTTGTGTGGGTGCTAATTCCTGATTCAGGGGTTTGACAACATTAGTACTACGAGTATGCTGTGAAGTCTTGTACTGAAAATGGTAACAGGTTAAGGCATCCCTAATGCAGCTAATACCTCAGAAGGAACATGACAATTTCCTTCTTTCTGTAGTTGAAGGGCCAGCATTATTGTTTATACTCTGGAAATGCTTTAGCTGATTCAGTGAATGCGGGAGAGAGTGCTGAGACTGTGCCTCTATAGTTAGCCTGTCTCATTCTTCTCCTTTGGCTGTTGACAAGGAAGGTCTAAGACAAAGGAGCACAGATGGATTCACAGCAATTGCTTAAAGGTCCATTAATACAGATCTGTTTGAAAATGGTAATTTCTTACTCACAGAACTTATACCAGCTGTGACTAGAACACTCACTGAAAGTAGAACTTTCAGTAGTGCCTTCCGTATAGACACAAAATAATTGTAGGCTTTTCTGGGAGAAGTGAGAATCTTCTTCTTCAAGGAAGTAAATGGATGGCCTAATCTCTGTCTTTTTCTGTTTATACCTCAAGGTATAAACTTACATAAACTTTTAAAATTATGAAGTGAGTAGTTTATGGAGTGTTTATTTAAAAATAACCAAACAACAACAAAACCAAAGCTAATCCATTAGAAAGTTGGGTCACTGTGGGAGTTGTGCACTTCAGTAAAAAAACAACCCAAAACCCAAAACTGTCACAAAGAAACTCAGTAGAAACAATTTCAAAGGGCAGTTGATTCACCAACCTCACTCATCTTCAGACTTGAACTGCAGTTGCTTTAAACTTTTGTATAAGTTGGCTTTGTCTCGTAACTGGTTACATGGCGAAGGTTTAAATGTAGCTGTTTATTGAGGGTTGGTTTTTTGGTTGTTTTTTTTTTTGCAGCTATAAATATCTTTTATCCCTGCATCTGTTGAAAAAAAAATTGAGGCATGTTGGTACCCAACATGGTAAATAAAGGAATCTGTTAAACAGAGAATACATTGTACACAAAGGAATCTTGTTTCACGTGCAGTGTATTGCATAAATGTTTAAATTTAATTGTGGCTATTTTCAAAAACATAAGCCTTAAATGCTGAAGGAAACCCATCATGATTTCTTGCTTTTCAAAGCTTCTTTTTTGAGACTATAAAACATTAACTTGATTTACCAGAATCACTCTAGAGACAATGTTAAAAGCCAGGTACAGGCATTTGCAACTTCCATTAAAATTTTATCTGCGTATGTATGGGTGGTATCCAGCCTCCTGTCTCTTGTTAAGCAATATCAGGAGATAATGATATCAGAGATTGTGAACTGCATGGAACATAGCTGCCTTTTTTTGGAGTATCCTTGTTAGAAAGCCTTTTTAGAGGTGGTGATGCCTTAAGCTTAACTACAGTTTCTGCTTCTTAAAATGTAGAAAAAACAGTAAGAGAATCTTTTACCACTCAGCAACTATGGATAAGGTAATAGTAAAAGTGACTTGTGGCCTTAATTGAGCATGAAGTTTTTGTTTTTACTTAAATCCAGGTTTGCAAGCGAATGGACTTGGTTTGCCAGAGGATGTTAAATCAGGGATTTCTGAAAGTGGAAAGATACCACAACTTGTGTCAAAAGCAAGTTAAAGCTCAGCTTCCAAGGTCTGTACCAGTTAAAACTGTACTTATGTTTAAATGTGCTAGATTCTTTTATGCAGAGTATTGGAAAGGAATTTGTTGCTGGCTAATTCTGCTTATTTATATATTGAAAAATTGAGTCACAGTTGGTTTTATTTATTTATTTATTTTTTCCCCCAAAAGCACCTTGACCTAAGATCTAATTAGAGAATAATGGTGTGGATGAATGTAAGTTGTCGTATACTATGTACAGGAACATTGGAAAGTGTCTGTGGTGTTTTAAACAGAGAAAAGAGTATATATGTGCTACTCTTTTCTTCTGGCAAATCAAGCAAGGACCCCTAGAAATGAATAAATGCCATTCTTTTTTAGGACTGACTCCCTTTATTTATCTACCACTGCTTGAAAAAACAGCAAATTTTTTTCAGTGTCAAGGATTAAACAGGGAAAGTGAGTGAAGTTTGACATGTGAGCATTGCTGGGAGCTAGTTTCTCACTTAAAGCAATATTTTTTTCTCCCCTTTATGATGAATTAAGTGTAGCTACTGCTGTGTCCTGTCAGATTTCTCAGAGTGAAGAGACTCAATGTTGTTTATTGTAGAGATCCTTTGTCAAAATAACTTGCATCTCAACCTCAATTTTGTAGCAAGCACTATTAATATATTAAATTTGTCAGCTGCATTGAAGTATTAACTGTAGAAACATAGGAGGATGAAAATATTCACACTGACTTAGTGTCTACTGCTAGTTAGTAGTGAAAGTTTGTTTTTAAATAGTCCTAAATTACATATGGAGTTCATGGATCACATAAGGTGATTATTTAGAGAACAAATTCTGTCTCAGTGTGGTATGCTATTACTAGCTGGTTCTCAATCCACAGCAGGTTATTTCCATACAGACAGAACTAATGTTAGTGGTTACGTTTTCAAACCTCAGAGGGTTTTACAGGTGAAGTTAACTTGAGTGATTTTACTGTTTCATTTTGTTGACTCATTGTTAAATCTGTGTCACTTAATGGTCTGTCTTCTAGACGGGAATCAGAAAGAAGAAACCATTCATTAGCACGTCATGCAGACATCCTTGCTGCTGTAGAAACAAGGCTCTCTCTGTTAAATATGACTTTCATGAAGTATGTGGATTCCAATCTCTGTTGCTTCATACCTGGAAAGGTAAAACATGCTTTATTAAGTGAATTTATACCAGTGTTTAAAAAATATGGTTGTGTAACTTAACTTGGGACAACTGGGACAAACTTATATAATGTGTATATGAAACTGTGTTTCATAACTTGCAAACAAACACACAACCCAATGCTCTGCTATAACAGTCTGGAATGAATGAACCAGACTGTATCTAAATATTAATGTTTTTAAACTCAATTTCAATTTTCCTTTAGGTTATCTCTTAGTTCTGATGTGTGAATTGTGGCATATATATCTTATACAACCTTTTACAAGAAACACACGATATGTAGGGTTTAATTCTCAACTTTAATTCCACAAAATGGCTGGAGCCCAGGTCATCAGAAAATGCAGTAATTTGGACTACATGTAACACTAAGCACACAGTCAGGAAGATTTTAGGCACCTTTCTTAAGGATTTGAGTACTTCAGATTATTTGAATTAAAGTATTTAGTATGGGGAAACATTGTTCAGTATTGGGGTATTTTTTGTACAGTAGGCAAAATTAGTTTTAATGTGCTAAAAGTGTACTAAATGTGACTACTACTGAACAATTCCTGTGTTTCAGAATAATACCTCAACATAAAATATAAATTATGCAGGGGAGATGTACATCAGAGATAGCACTGGTTTGTAAAATGTGATAATGGAAGTGCTCAGGGGAATTGACAAAATCATGATCTGAGGAGGACTGGTACAGCTCAGGGTTGAAACAAGATCTGTGAACATTAGCCTAATGCTCTATTCATTGATCTTTCCATTTGGAAATGGTGGATGATATTAATTCTTCATGGGCAGATAATGGAATTGCACTGGGCTGAGTGGAGAACTTAAACATTGGGTTCAGGTGAGGCATGGCAGGCATTTCTCCAGTACAGTGGGATAGACTGTTGGCATGAAATGTATTTTTATCTTGAAGAGGGGGTAACTTGATCTCTTGATACTCTTGGTGACTAGCTATTTAATTTTAAATCATTATAATTTAAGGTATGTTTATTTGACTTTATTTTTTATATATGCCATGTATTTTTAAAAATTTAATATAAAATTAAACTTAAGTCCTTGATTCTCGCATGATAAATGGAATACTTAAAAGAAATACTGCCTTACTTTTGTGAAGAGTAGACAGAAAGGCAATACTCAGCTAGACCTGGGGTGCGCAGGTGTTGGGCAAGTGAGCGTGCCAGCCATTTCCCTTGTGTGTAACGAGTCATAAGAACCTTGTTTGTGTTCTGATACAACAGCTAAAAAGGGGGTATGCGTGTGTGTGTTATAGTGTATGAGCTTACTCTGCCAACAGATTCAAGGCTCAGAGTTCATATACAGTCTAGTTCCCCCCACAAAATTTTGTTTGAATGAAGCTGCCACAGAACTGTCAGGAACTGTCTAACTGTGTTAGAATATGTGACTCCTGATTTGAGGTTTGGCATACTGTGTGAGGGGTCCTGGTGATATCAGAGCTCTCCTGAAAATTTTTCTGTTGAGGATGCTTGAAGGATGTTGTTGCTAACGGGATATAGAGTGGGTTAAATTAGAGAAGTCTTTGGTAAGCTCATTGTGTGATGAGACTTTTGTCTAGCTTTTGCAACTTTTTAGCTAAGCTTCCCTTATTAAAACAGAAGATGCAACTGTAATATCTTACCTATGATTCTAAGTCCTTAATATCTGTGCTGTTCAGGAGATTCTTCAACCATTCTTAGCCCAGTGTCAGTAGTTTTGGTGCTAAGAGACCAGCACTCCTATATTGACCTATCTTACAGCCTCATGCTATAATTCATAGATTAGCAAGACACCTTTTGTCTCTCTCTATCCTACAAGAAGGGCTTGCTTTTCAAACATATTAAGAGGGTGCTTATGTTCTCTGCCAGTAGTGGATTGATATTTTGTAAAGTAATATATTTTGGACTTAATCAGAATTTGCAGTATTCCGGGTGTATGCAAGTGGACTCAGATAAATATTTGCATCAGTTCACACTGACATAATTCTTGCTACTCCATTCATGTGTTTCATAATTTACTGGGGAAGTGACTTGCTTCAGGTTCTCCAGAAAGAAATTACTATGCTCTACTGAGTATAGATTATATAAGTCAAGTATAGATGTAGTGAAACAACATTTCACACAATGAGCCTCATTCCATGAATTTGAAGAGAGTTGTTACGACAGATCAAGTGAAGAGCTTCTCTGATATATCATGAACAGCACTTCATTTCAAAAAGCTGATCTAGAACTGAGCACACGGTGTATGCGATAGTTATGTAGTAAAAGCCCCTGAATATGCCTTCTAAAATGGTCTGAAATAATCGTGCTTTTACCATAAAATCCTAATTCTTCTTAAATGTTTTAGGTAATAGATGAAATTTATCGTGTGCTAAGATATGTAAACTCTACAAGAGCTCCTCAGAGAGCTCATGAAGTTCTCCAAGAACTAAGGGACATTTCCTCCATGGCTATGGAATATTTTGATGAGAAGATTGTTCCAATACTGAAAAGAAAGATGCCTGGGTCAGATGTATCAGGACGGCTGATAGGAACTGCCCCAGGTATTAATTCCAACGTAACATCTATTTTGTTCTTCTGTTTAAAAATTACAGCACTGCATCTTTTCAAAGCTCCCTCCCTTAAATGTGAGCTTTATTACATAAACATTGATGACACTTGTTTCTTAGGAATGCTAACTGAAATTCATTTGCTTTGAAATTCAAGGAGCCTTTGTACTACCAAAAGAACAGTCACTTGAATGTATGTTAGAATTCTGCATAGTGTGTATTCATGAAACAAACGCTTTTGTGCCACCAATGAATGAGACACTATCGTTGGCACTTGGTTGAAATTTGGCACATGAGATGACAACTTGATGCCTTTTATTTTCAGGACAATCAGCAAATGAATTAACCTAAGCTGCTGTAGCGCATAAAGGGCTAGAACATCCTTGTATGTGCTTCTCTTTTTTTACTTTCCTGGAGCACTAATGTATACACTAACACGCAAAACACTGACAGGCAATCATAAAAAGGCAATTCCAATAACAGTTTATAAATAACCAATTAAACTGGTCCTTCATGTACTCTGTCAGACTTTCTGGAACTTTTCTGAACCAAAGTCTAAGGTAGTTGTCTCTTATAATGGCCAAAAGCAAAAGGTTAGTACCCATATTATTTTCCCTGTGCTGAACATCTTCACGCTTCTTGAGGACTGTAAAATTAATTCTCTGAAAAGATAACTTAATACAAATGAAAAATATTTACATCCTAAGTAAAAGCAACAGGCTTGACTGTAGGAGCTGCTTGTTGTTTCTGGTATGTCCTGTTCATCTTCTAGCCATCAGTTTGTATACCACCTCTCAATTATATCCTGTTAGTTATACCTGAAGTCCATTGAGTCTCTTGGTTGAGGATGATTACCCAAAGCCATAGTTGATGTCAGTCAGCTTTTCAAGGCCAAGGCTTCATGTCACATAAGAATACCTCTCTTGTGTTGAGGGAGGAGCAAAACCCCCTTAACGGAGACCCTTGAGTGTTACATAACAATAACTATGCTGGCATCCTAACAGGAGGAAAAGGATGTTCCTGTAGGATGCTCCATACTATACTCTATGTGCAGCACTTAAAAATTGCACCTTCCTTGCACAGGACACTACTAGAAGAGTAAAGTGATAGACACCTTGTGTGATAAAGTGTATGTACCTTTTATGATAAAGTGATAGAGATAAATCCATTAGGATAGATAGTGATAAATGCCTCTTGTGATACATAAAGTAATAGATGCCTCTTACGATAGCGATAACCTTTACAATAAAGTGATGAATATCTCTTACGATAATGTGATAAGACAATTTTACAGTAGTTAAAGTGATGAACACCTTTTATGATACATAAAATGATAGAGACCATTACGACAGATAAAGTGATAGCTGCCTCTCATAGATAAAGAAATAGATACCTGTTACGAAAGATAGTGCTATACACCTCTTACAATTAAGTTATAGATGTTTAGTCTCCTTGATTTACAGGTTGGTTGTTAAAATCAAGAGCCCCAAGCACTAAATCCAGTTTGGTTTTAGGATTTAGGAAGCATCGTTGTAAAAGACGGAAAGTAAAACGTGTTCTTCCAAAAAGTAAGTTAAACAGTAGTATCTTGTTAAGTCTCAAACCACAGAAAAGTGATAGATGCCTCTTAGGATAAAGTGGTGGATACCTGTTATGAAAATATAAAGTGATAGATGCCTCTAATGATACATAAGGTGATAGATGCTTCTTGTGATAGATGAGGTGATAGATTTCTCTTACGATAGCAATAGACAGAATCATAGAATCATTAGGGTTGGAAAAGACCCCAAGATCATTTAGTTCCAACCCCTCTGCCATGGGTAGGGACACCTTGCACTGAACCGTGTCACCCAAGGCTCTTGTCTGTCCAAGCTGGTCTTGAACACTGCCAGGGATGGAGCATTTACAACTTCCTTGGGTAACTCGTTCCAGAGCCTCACCACCCTCACAGTAAAGAACTTCTTCCTAAACTTCCCCTGTTTAAGTTTGAACCCATCAGCCCATGTCCTGTCACTACAGTGCCTAATGAAGAGTCCCTCCCCAGCATCTTTGTAGCTCCCTTCAGACACTGGAAGCTGTTCTGAGGTCTCCACACAGCTTCTCTTCTCCAGGCTGAACAGCCTCAACTTTCTCAGCCTGTCTTCATACAGGAGGTGCTCCAGTCCCCTGATCATCCTTGTGGCCCTCTTCTGGACTTGCTCCAACAGCTCCATGTCCTTTTTATATTGAGGACACCAGAACTGTACACAGTACTCCAAGTGAGGTCTCAAGAGAGCAGAGTAGATGGCTCTAAGGGTTGTTAAAGTGATAGATGGCTTAGGATTGATAAAGTGATGGACACGCATAAGATAAATAAAGGATATACTTCTTATGATAAAGTGATGGATACCTCTTATGATAAAATGTTGGACAGGTGTTACAAAACATAAAG